TGGAAACTGGTCACTTGTCTGACAAGGTAGCAACTTCGATGCGTGGAAAACTGGGTACGTGTGGAGGTGTGCTGGGAGTTCTATTGTATAGGACGGTCCATCTTCGCCGCCCTTGACTTCCAGGACAGGCCACGGTCCTCTATATGTGGGCAGTAACTTCTGCGAGATGTTCTCCTCAGGCGCAAACTCTTTGGAACTAACCCAGACTAAGTCGCCTACTTGGAATTGTGAAGGGCGACGATGTTTGTTCGCTTGCTCTATCATCTTATGCAGGGCTTTCCTGAGGTTTTCTACAACGGTAGCTAGTTCTTTCTCGTGCTGCACAGCAAACTCCCGGGTCCCGGGCGGCAATCTGTGAATCTGATCCCGGTTGAGTCCCTCAAACGGTCTGCGCGGTCTAAAGGACTTGTGCAGTTCGTTGGGAGTGCGACATGTAGACAGATGCACGCTATTATTGTACGCACTAGCTACTTTGGGCAACATCTCATCCCAGTTAATCTGATCCGGCCTAATATACATGCGCAGAACTTGCTGTAGGATCTTGTTCATTTGCTCCGTCTGACCGTTAGTCTCTGGATGACGGCCGGACAACATCAACAACTTAGACCCATATACTCCCATGAGTTCTTGCCAGTTCTGGCTGGTAAAACGACTATCTCTATCGCTAACTATTGACAACGGGATTCCGTTCTCACTAACCCAACAGTCAAAAAACCTCTGTATGACTAAATCAGTACGTGCCTCTGAAGGCAAAGGAACAAAAACTGCGTACTTGCTAAAGCGGTCAAGTATGACCATGACTTGGCTCTTGCCATGCCTGCTCTTGACTTGAGTGTCCATGAAATCTATTGACACTGAGTCTCCCGGCTGATCCAGGATGGGCAAGGGTCTGAGAAGACCTAGCGGGGCGCGCGTAGAACTCTTATTACGATGGCAGACTTTGCAACTGCGAACATACTCTACGCAGTCATTCTTCATCCCTGGCCAGGTATACGCACGCATAAGATTGGCTAAAGTCTTTTGCCAACCAAAGTGACCCTCTGTGTCATGGCATTCTCCCAGAATCAGGCTACGGATCTTTTCACTATTATGGATGCACAGGCAGTCAAAGACATTAGTCTTCTCAAAGAGCAACCCTTCGATAGTGCGGTAATTCGGTTCAGTCTCTGGGGCCTCCTTGACTTTCTTAAGGAGCTCGCTATAGATAGGGTCCTGCGTGTAAGCTTCTCTAACCCTCTGCTGTAGGTCCTTCCCTATATCGAGGTAATGTACTATTGCCCCAAAGTAATCCGCTCTCCTACTCAGAGCATCCGTGACTACGTTGTACTTCCCTTTGACAGCTTGAGCTCAAAGTCATACTGATCTATCTCTGCAGCCCACCTAGTAAGCTTAGGTGTCATCTTGGCCTGCATCTTTAACCATCGTAATGTCTCATGGTCAGAATAGACTTTGAAGTGCCTCCCAAGCAAGTAGTGCTTCCAGTGGTCTAAGGCTTGCCTGAGWGCGTAGAGTTCCCTTTCATAGGTAGATGTCGCGACCTTCTCTGAAGGCATCCTGGCGGACATGAACTCTACGGGTCTATAGCCATTGCCATCGTCTTGCTGTAACACTGCGCCTATGCCGTACTGGCTAGCATCCGTAGTAACGACAAAAGGCAAGGAYGGATCGRCGACCTTAAGGACYGGRTAYTCTATYAAYGCCTGCTTTAGCTTYTTCATGGMAGACGTGCAGYCCTTGTCCCACTTCCAGATTGTCTCTTTTCTYAGCAATCTGCGAAGGGGCRCAGCGATGGTGGAGAAGTTCCTCACGAACTTCCTATAGTAGTTAGCTAGGCCCAGGAACGAGCGCAACTCTGTCAGCGTACGTGGCGTGGGCCAATCTTTAATCGCTGCGATCTTGCTATCTTCTGGCTTAACGCCGTGTCCGTCTAAGACGTGGCCTAGGTACAGAACTTGGGTCTTTGCCCAATTACACTTCTTTGCATTGATCTTGAAGTTAGCTTCCCTCAACTTCTCCAAGACCTGCCTGAGGTGACCCTGATGCTCTTCGAGGGTCCTGCTAAACACTAGAATGTCATCTAGATAAACTACTACAAATCTGTCTAACCACGACCTAAACAAATCGTTCATACAACGCTGGAACGTAGCTGGCGCATTGGTTAGTCCAAAGGGCATCACTATGAACTCGTAGTGCCCATATCTAGTYYGGAAGGCTGTCTTATAYTRATCATCARGATGCACCTMTATCTGATGATATCCGGACTTCAAATCTATTTTGGAGAAATACTTGGCCCCCTGCACTCGATCTAAAAGATCGTCTATCCTAGGCAGTGGCTCAACATTCTTCACTGTAATCGCATTCAATCGCCGATAGTCTATACACATTATCATCTCTCCTTCTTTCTTAGGAACAAAGAGGACAGGCGCTCCGAAAGGAGACGAACTGGGCCTAATCCAACCCTTCTCAATGAGCTCGTCCGATTGCTTGCGAAGCTCCTCTAACTCCCGCGGGGACATCCTATACACCACACCCTTAGGAGTTCTACTGCCAGGCTCTATCTCAATACGGTGCTGGATGGGCCGCGGCACCGTGCCTGTCGGCGGCTCAGTCAAATCCTTAAACTCTTCCAGCAGCTTGGCAATCGCGGGGTCCATCGGCTTCTCCTCCGTAGGCTCAGTCACTGGCCTAACATAGGCAACAAAGACCTGTTCCTCCAATCCCTCCTTCTTCACCAGTCTGGCGAACGCGGGGGCACTAAGGCAGCAGTGCGCCAAGGAATTCTCTACCCCTGACACATGGAACAGGAGGGCAGTCTTGGCCTCGCCTGACGAACTAGGGAGCCTACACTCGTGCTCCTTCAAATGGAGCGTGGCCCCGACTGCCTCTCCCCAATCCATTCCCAGGACAATGTCAAATGGGAGGCTGTCCTCTACGAGGAGAGTCAAGGAGTGGAGGACCTTCTCCACTTTTCCATCTTTCTCTAGGCGGAAATACGCCTGGACTCCCTCTATGTAATCCTCTACAATCATAGTACGATTGTCCGCGAGGATACTAACTATGGGGTCTGTCAGTTTCTGGACTGTAAGTCCCAGCCTCAACTTCTGCAGCGCTTTCCTACTAATATAGCTGCGAGTGGCCCCTGAGTCTACTAGGGCCCCTACTCTACTTCTAAAAATCTTTGTATCTAGTAATATAAGCTGCCCTTTGTTCTCCTTCTTCATCTTGGCCCAGGCGGGCATCCTCTCCTTCAACTCTTCGGCCACGCCTGTGAGGGAGGTGTCTAACGAAACTCTAACACAAGCAGTTTCGGGACAGCTGTCTAGACACCGGCCTGCAACCTTTGCCGTAGGCACATGTGGTGTGGGAGTCTCCTGCCGGCTAGCGCTATTTTCCCCACATGGCCTAGTGGTAGGGGCAGTTGCTACCCCTACCGGCGGCTGCCATTTGGCCCTTGGGCAGTCGTTCGGGTCTCTCTATACTTGGGACAATATTTGATGATATGGCCGGGTCACCGCAGAAAATGCACTGACCCCGGTCCAATCGTTTTTGCCATAAGTCCTGGTCCAGACCCAAAGATTCCCAAGGCCTACCCTGAGGTAGCCCTGGGTGCCATCCTCCTACTCTATAGGGAGACCTATTCCTAAGACGGTTTTGCGAGGGACCTTGACCCCTGCCTCCCGCTTGGCGGTTTCCTCCTCCGCCGCCAACCCCCTGATCGCCCTGAAACCGGCTCCCTGAGGCCCGGCCCCCTTGGCCCTGGCCTCTTCCTCCTTGCGGCCTCCCTCCGGCCGCGACAGCAGCGTAGGATCTCCCCTGGCCCACACCGCTGTTCGCCTCCTCTAGCCCCCACTCAATCTGATCGTAGGGAATCTCATCCACACTACCCTCATCTAAAGTCATGACAAGGCTATCCTTGGTCCTTACCTGCCCTGAGATAGTGCGGCCTTTCCATTGCTTTCCCTTGTCCAAATCCTTATGCCAAAAGGTGGACAGGGACACTGACTTCGCTTCAAAAGCCACCACCTCACGACTAAGGGAATCGTAAGTGGTGGTAGGGTCTTCGCTCTTCGCGAAGAACTGCCCTCGAAAGGCTTCGGGCATAGCCCGGTAAAAGAGGTTGACCAACTGGCCCTCTATGACCCCATGGTCAGGGACGGACACCAACTCATCCATTGTACCCTTGAGTGCCCTGACACTCTTCCATTTACGAGAATGGATGGTTTGGAGCTTGTCTGAGGCCTTGACACTACGAGCGACATCAGCAAATCGCTCGCGCAGCAACTTCAGGAATTCGGTGAGGGACGTAAATGAGGAGTACGCAACGGGATCATCAGTACAGTTGGCAGCGCGAACTAGGGACCTTGCAAAACTGGCGGCCTCATCTCTCAGCGCGTGGATAGCAATTAGGACTTGCTGATCTAGGGAGACTTGTTGCAAGTGCACATAGGTCTTAACGTTGGCCTCCCAATTGTCAAAGTTTTCCTCCCTCTTCCCACTRTAGGMATCGGGGAACTTGACTTTGACAGGCTCCCGSCGAGGAGGAMGTGCTTCCTCCTCCTTGGGAGCTGCCRCCTTRACGCCTTCAATGGCGCCAGCGCAGAACCGCTCAGTCTTGTCGAGGCGGTGACCCACCTCGGCTCCAACGGCGCCTACCAGCTCACGAGCAAAGTCTTGAAAGCCCAACCATATCGAGCGCACAGCTATGTCCTGACTTCTGCTAAAGTCATATTGGTCTGCCTGAACCCGTGCCAGGCATGCGACGCTCCGAGCTATGACTCACATCTGATTCGGGAGATCGGGCTGGGCGGCTAATTGCGCCTCTATGTTCTTCACTTCCTCTAAGGCCTCTGCCGCCTCCGCTGCCTTGTCAATTCTCCTTTTCTTCTCCCTCATCACCGCTAATTTCCATTCCATCCACTTCTCGTCTTCCAATGCTTGACGCTTAAGAGGGTCTTTCTCTGCATCCCAAGCCTTCATGGCAGCTTCTTGCTGATGCTGCGGGATATACATACTAACCTCTTCCTCTTCTCCCACAGTCAGGTTGGCAACCCATTCAGATATCCTCTTCTCCAGGTCTCCATCGGTACTACTACTGGGCTGCCCACCACTCCTTTGCAATGGCGGACCGTCCTCTTCTTCATCCACCGCCTTCAGTTTCTCTTCTTCTTCCTTCTTTAACCTCTCTTTCTCCTTGGCCATCTCTTCTTCCATCTTCTTCAATTTGGTCGCCTGCTCCTCCTTCAAGGCCTTCTTCTTGGCCTCCTTCTTCTCCTTTCTCTCCTGCAGGATGGCGGCCATCTTCGCCTCCTCCTCCTTTGTGTACGGCATAGTGGAGGTRCCGCGCCGGGTGTCTACCATGGTGGTGTCAGGTGCACGACAAAGGTCCCACTCCTCACCACTTGGACCTACCCGAACACAAACCTATTGACCGACTTCCTAAGGACCACAGGGTAAGACCCTGTCAACTATGGTCACTAACCCAAGACTTATTCTAAGGCACTACTGAACCAAAAGCTGATCTGGAGGCATTTAAGGAGATCCCCCGTAACTCCTCAAGAATTCTTCAACGTCGCAGACAGGACGACGTGATCAGCTTGGTTCTTCCTGGCGATTTCAGCCCACAACTCAGCCGTTCCAGCCTACTGTGCCACACCGAGCAGCCCTCCGGTCTGTACCGGTCCTTGGAGGGGTTCGTATCCCTCGGGATAGTCGAGTCGTCAGACACAGATCATCAGTTGTAATAGGTCCAGTAGGGGAGCGGCTCAACCAGGCCTCAACACTTAAAGACGGCCCTCGTTTCAGCCTACAGCCCGGAGTCCAGACCCTCTACACTGAACTCAGTAGACCTGCCGGACAATACCGTTCATTGGGCTAGATGAGTTGTTTAACGAGCGCTCGCCGCTCATGCCCAGGTCTCCAAGTACCAGAGTAGAGCTTTGGTCCTACTAAGCCCGTGTAGGTTTGGCAGCAAGGCCCTATCCTTCATCCACAGAGTCCTAGCACCTAAGACAGAAGAGACTCAATGCAGAAAGAGTTGACAGACAACTCAGCAAGTACCGTGGGGTAAGTGCACATCCACAGGGTAAGGGGATAGGCTAAGGG